TATTATTATATAAATTATTTTTTGCACCTTAATATTTATTACTTAGCTGTTAGTACTCGCTTAATTTCCGGAAAGAAATATAGGGTATTCCATTTTAAGAAATCATGGTGACCTTCGAAACTTTATATATAAAAGCAATGCAGAAAAAAACAATTATTGTAACATATGCCCCCCTTGAAATCACGCAACTTTTGCTTCATACACTATTTTATACGATGAATAGTTTACGAACAATTTTTTGCTGTTTACAATATGTATGTTTCTGGTCTTAGATATTCTACAGTACATACCAAACAGCTCCGGATTGTAATTGTCTTCTTATTTAATACCAAAACTTATTTCACGTTAAAATTACCAACATATCCAATAATTATGATAAGTTATCAGATTTCTTTGTTTATTCGGTGTGCGAGGGTTAATATGTAATTGTACTGCTAGATGCAAGAAAGGCCTCAGTGACGAAAGTCAGTTTCGAGAAAAACAACAAGAAAACAACAAGAAAAATTGGCAATATTCGCAAATGAGTTGCTCTTGAGATCGGCACGTGCGTTCGCATAGAGCCAGTTTTGCTGACACGGTGGCGAGTTGCAGGTGATATGCCTGGTGTAAAAAGTATCTCCGTTTCGAACACTTTTTTAAACATATTCTTACAACGAATATGCACCATAGGAAATAAATGCTTACTAAACGGTACAAAAGACATAAAAGTGTGTGCATATGATAAAATATTACATTACATGTAAAATGTATGTTGTATTCAACTAACGCAGTTTACTATGCTAATTGTAACATGTTTATATATGGTGATTATCAATAACAAAGTTTGACAAAAAATTGGCAAAGTACTTCGCGCATGGGACGTGCCTAAGGCAGGGCTAGAACCACTAGAACAGAGCCGCTTAACTTCTTGCTCACGAGCAAATTTCCCCTCCCGAGGTTCCCCCACTATGCGGTACGAACACGCAGAATGTGTAACATAAACCAACGGCAGTCGCTGGAGTGTGGTGGGAGGACCCCTCGCGTCCTCCTCCCGCCCCGCCTCAACTCGAGCGAGACCATCTAAGTCGCATAGTGGGGGAACCTCGGGAGGGGAAATTTGCTCGTGAGCAAGAAGTTAAGCGGCTCTGCACTAGACCGTCCAAACCCCCACCTACGTTTTTCTCCGTCTTACCCTCTGCTACGCTCTTTGTCTATGCGCAGAACGGACGAGAATCGGTCCGAGAGCGAGGTTACTCTCATTTTGAACGACGTATAGCTATAATGGAATAAATATGCTTATCCACGCGATTCTTTACGTCGTTCGATTGGAATATACAAGATGAAATTTTTTAATTATGAATTTGCAAAAAATTGAGTGAACGGGAATAAATCCCAGGACCTCTGCTTTAGTAGCCACGCAATTATCTCATTGTCAGTGTACCAACACTACTGTGATAACCCTGATTTGTATTTATAGTGCATATTGAAGATACAGTGACTCATTAGAGTTGCATGATTAGAACAGTATAACTTTTTTACAATTGGACCAAACGACTTGAGTTTCCTTTTTTTTTTTAAATTAGAAGAATTAGTATATTGCAATTTGTGGGAATCACGAAGAAAATTGTACACGTCACTGTTTATAACTTTTTGTCTGAGCTTGTAATGAAAATTTCAAACGTACGTTTTGTCGATTTATGTGAATTATACACATACTGAAAATTTCATCGAAACCGGTTGATGGAGAAAGAAACGACAGGCACCGAAAGATGTAAGAATCTTCAGATTTATTACAGTTTTAAGCCGAATGTCGTGAAATAGTGTGATTTTCACAATCTTTAATCGTTTGTAGCTCGTAGCAACATTAACCGATGAGTTTCGATGAAATTTTCAGCATGTGTAAAATTGACATAAATCTGCAAAACGTGTTTTTTTACATTTTCATTACAGGCTCAGATAAAAAAGTTGTTAAATGTGACCTTTACAATTTTCTACGCGATTTTCACAAATTGCAATTTTTTCAGAATTTGTTTGCACACGTCATTTAGTATACTAATCCATCCGTCTAACTTCTCAAAAAGACTCTAGTCGTTAAGTCCAATTTTTAAAAAGTTACATCTAA